CTATTTTTTTTAAATAACATAACCCTGAAGACTATGTTAATTTAATCATTTTTTAATTGATTTGATTAACCGATCCAATGTTTAATTTTTTTAATACTCATCGGCAAATTAAGATTTTTATAAGATAAATAATACCAATGCGTTTTTTATATTTTTCTTATTCTTATTGTTGTTATTTTTTGTTAAAAATATTTCTAATAAAAAATTTTATATTTTTATCATTATAAAATACTAAAATAAAAGATAAACTGTAAAAAATATGTAATAGTAATTATACAAATGTTCTAGTTTTTAAATGTTACATATATATAAAAGTAATTGTTTATATTAGAATTTATTGAAATATATTTAAAAAAAAAATGACAACAACAACAACAAACTGAATAAAAACGATTATAAAATAAAAGCGAATGTAAATTATATTAAGGTGTAATTCTTTTATTTGGTATTGACAAAAATAATAAGTAAAAGTAAGTGTATATGACTTCTTTCTCAAAAATGATTTCCGGTAGTTGGAATAATTGAATTTTTTCCTATTTATAACTAAAATAAAGTTTATTTCATTTAATTATTAAATTAGCTTGAAATTATATTTATATATTATTAATTACTTAGCTGGCTTGTGACAGAATATTTGTTCCATAAGCCGGGATTAAACAATTATTATCCAGGCGCATCGGTCTTGTGCACAGCTCTTTCAATATGAAAGACCATGTTACGAAATGATACGTCCGACAATGTCGATGTCCAAGAATAGATGGTACAACTCATGGTTCATTCATGGATTAGGGTTTGTTGCAATTAAAATATATATATTATATATCAATTTGAAAAAAGCGAGAAGAGTAGGGACATAATGAAATACTTACCGTTTCGCTTAAATGACAAATTCAAATTTCAAACTATTTTATTTTTTTTCATTTCAGGTGAAAGTCTGACTGCGATGAAACTGGGTCGCTTAACCATTTCACAACACATAAAAATTATTAAACGCTACAACAACAATTCATAATGTGTTAGTCGGATTTGCTTACAGATATATAGCCTCAGCCTATGGTTTGCGTAGGTCTACGGAATTATACATAGGTGATATTATTCGTTTTATGAGATACATGTTTTTATTAATTCAAAATTGTCTTTTATAAATTCAAAATTGTCTTTTATAAATTCAAAATTGTCTTTAAAATATAGTTGGCACCCTCCAAGAACGTGGAATGCGGAATTACAGCTACATGGGTTAGAAAATGCAGCTAAGACCCTCAACCCACCAAAAATGAGGCGGGAATTTTATACGAGTGCTGTGTCACAATCTAGGCTTCCGTCGAACATTTTCTGAAAAAAATATTTCTCAAACTCCCAGAATTTACAGTCCTTTTGTAGAAAAATGCGGCTATAACATTATTGTATGTTTGAAATGATACTAAAACCTTAAAAATATCGAACATTTTGGGAGAGCTTTATAAGTGGGCCAGATCAATACTTGGAAAATGTGCCTCGAACCATCAACATATGTAAAATAAGGACAAAAATTTGGATTTAGACATCATGCTTCTTTGGAACAAATATTTTTCACACAATTTGGAGTCGGCCAACACTAAACACTCAAGTTCGAAGATGGGTCCCATCTTTATGAATAGTCTAAAATACCGATGGTTTTCTTTAAATTTGGCAGAACTGCAAATACATGTTATCAACGCCATCTGTGGAATGGGTACATCCAAAAATCGATTGTGCAAAATTTAAACCAGATTTGATCCAAACATTGCAAATAGTAATATGTTTACTAAACCTAAATTAACTTTGGTACCGCCCCTTTAAAGGGTCAACATTTTAAAAACAAGTCGAGTCGAGTACGTTTATAGCGATTTGATACATAGTTTGCACATCGTAAAATGTTTACCAACTTTAAATCCGAAGATGGAGTCTATCGGGGCAACATTCTCTGTTACCTCTTCACAAATGGTAAACTCTTTTATAAGAACATACAACCTATAATTCAATAGACCTACGCAAACCATAGGCTGGGGTGGCTACATATCTGTCGGCAGCACCGACTGTTTATTTAACATTTTTTTAATACCTGATTATTTATTTTTTTATATACAGATCTCATTCACTCAGTACGGATTTAATTACTGCGAACGAAAAAAAATAATTGCAGTATGACAAATAACATTTAGAGTATAATGTAGGAGGTAGAAGAAATATAACGTTGCAGTCTTGTGTGCAGAATCGGAAATGATGTCCTTCTCTGCATGTATTTGTTAAACTATTTTCAAATAAAATACAAATTTTAAAATATAAAAAACTATGTTTTTTATTTTCAAGAATTTAAATATTGAGAAAAAATGTTAGTATATAAATAGGTATTCATTCATATGTAAACGTTAACATATTTAAACCCGCTATGCCAATTTTGTCACAGGCGCCTAAGAGTATGCTTTACATTTTCTCTTCACATAACACATATAAGCTAATAATGTGGTTGGCAACGCCATTATATGAAATTTGCCATTTTTGCCACTAACAGAATCGTGCGGTTTTTCATTTTCGAGTAATAGGCAAACAGAACGCAATCGTAGGCATATTTTGGAAGATGGTCAATTTCAAATAGGAATATCTCCGTATATATACAACCGATTTTAATGATTTTTTCACTAATGCATAAACGAAAATTTGAAGTTTATTTGCAAAGTGATAGCAAATGAAATGTATATTGTTTTGTAGGTGAAAATCACAAATATGTGTAGACTTGGGGAAAATGCTATAATTATTGCAATTTTGGTTTAAAATTGTTTTTGGTTGAATATATAGGTGCAATAGATCACCTATGTCTTATTCTAAGCAGGTAATATATATTTAAGTGTACATTATCCTAGAAAAGACCGTAATGTGTTATTAATTGAAAGTCAGGATGCAATAACAAGTTTGATGTTATAATGGAGAAATGTCTAATTTTTTCACAGAATGTCATTAGGAAGTATTAAATGGATGAATTGGAAGAAATATTTAGCGACAAAAATTGATTTAAGATTTAAACAATAAGTATTTTGTCATAAAATAAGTGACAAAATTTGCATCCTATGGAGTGTATATTTAAGCCTGAAGGATATTGACCAGAGGAGTTTGTAGTATATTCAAAAGGAGTGCTTGATCTTTAAATTGATACATATTACATATATATTATGGACACAACTATTTTTATGTGTTTTATATACGCTTCCTGTTGGAACCACAAACTAGATAATCCTGCATGATTTGAAATAAAAGAATAAAGTGATTTTTTTTGCACCAAAAATAATTCCAGAATAGCTTTTGCTTAACCTTGGTATGTCTACCTTTAGGTAAGAATAACAAAATAACATAAGATTTCCTTAGTTTTAAAAATAGTTTTGACATTTTCGATCAGTACAAAATCCTTCCCTCAAATAACCAAAAACACATTGTCGGTTTATATCCCTTTTGAACTATCGCGTCCTGTCTATGTGTGAACCATGGATATATTTTCATCCGATTTAAAGTACATATATATATTTTTCGATTTGCACGAAATTTGGCATAGCACACTGAATTAAGTCTAGAATGATGTGTGCTAAGTTTCGTGAAAATTGGTTCAGATTTAGATATATTAAATAGTTCTGGAATTTTCGATCAGTACAAAATTGCCCAATAAGCCAATAAGAAAGAACAGTAAAAATTAAATAAATTTTAATATATAATACTCCCCTCAAATAACCAAAAACAAATTGTCTGTCTATATTCCTTTTGAAGCATCACGTCCCATCCATGTGCGCCATGGACAAGCACGAAATAATTTAGTTACCTAATTACATTCAAATACTTTCATTAGTTTATTAAATTAGATAATTACAGTAACCAGTAACAACAACCATAAAAATATATATAATTAAATAATTATATCAGTTAACAACGCCAAACACATCCTCAAACACATACATCTATAGTCGTCTGATGATGATAATCAGCTGCTTTGCTTTAACATTTTAGATTAGTCTCCGAACGACCGACCCCAAAGCTTATCATAAAGGGACGTCAGTCTCATCACGTCCAAAAGGATGAGAGGATAACAGCACATCACAGAGCATATGTTTGCAGTACAAGTGTACAACACCAAACAAACAGGATACAAAATTCAGGAGAAATTCCCCAACTGTTGTGTGAAATACAAAAATGCTTAAATAACATTTCATACTAGAAGAGGAAGACAAAAAAATGTTTTTTTTTTTTTAATTTGTGAGTTACCTTGAAGGAAATATAAATTATAAGGACATTTAAATGGAAAATCTGTTCAATGTTTTAAAATTTGAAATATAAAAATATAAGTTCTAATGAATAAATTAAGCCGAAATCAAGTTTTGCAATTCATGCTCTACAATTTGAAAACTACAAATGTTTTATACAAACCCATAGTTTCCTTTCGTAAAAAACTTCACTTATATATGATGAGTTTTGTTTTTATTTTATGTATATATCCCAATGTTGTAGAATGTAGAACGGAATTAATTACAAATTTTAGTCTTATATGTTTTTTGGATACATCTAAACAAATGGGATGAGGATACATACATAGTTGTATATTATAGTATAGACCTAATTTATACTTTTTCAATTGAATATTGTAAAATTTTTGTTGTTTTGGGGGTAAATTTGTATAAATTAAAAAAAAAAATAATAATAATAGTAAAATTAAATTAAAAGAACACTGACATGATAAGAAGTGGTGGTGGACAGGGTCTAGTAGTTAATAAAATAAAATATTTTAAGTTATATTAAAAAATATATATAATCACGTTTTTTTTTTCTTTTCTTTTGTTTGCATTAAGTGTTTTTGCTTTGTTTTTTAATGAATGATTTTTGAAATGATTAACTTAAAAATTAAAACGTTGAATGACTTTTAAGGACTCCTTGGGAAGGCATGTGGGTCCGCACACACATATTATTCTTTATCACTCTGGTACATTTTTATTGTTGTTATTGTATGGCTGGGTTAAATGTTAATGTGTGCCATTGGTGTAAGTTTCTCGAAAACGTTTCTGAATTAGCTGATACGCATTGTAAACTCTGTAATTATAAAACAAAATAACAGAAAATGTATTAATAAAAATATTATGAAAGTAACTTAATTACAATAAAAACATCTTAATATTAGAAGACTATTACTCGACAATTCAACTTACTTTTCTTTTGCAGCCTTGAATGATTTTTTGCGGGGCTTTTTGTTGATGGCATCTTGATTTTCGGCGGGTAGAGGCAAATCATTAGGTGAAATCATTGTCATATTATCTGAAAATTAAAAATAAATTATAAACTTATATATTTAATATACTAAATACTATTTTTAAATGTATTAAAATTAAAAAAGCTTCAGGAGAACCAGGCCCTCGCACCATTTTGGGCATTTGAACGATATAATCCTAAAATTTTGCTAAAATTAAAAGCATATATATTTTTAAAGTGACAAACAAATTCTACAAAAAGTGCATACTTTGAGTTATTAAATTTTCAATTTATTGATATATGACCTCTTCTATATGACTTATTAATATTATTCCGAACATACATTGTATTCATTTCCCATGAATTTTTATAAAATTAACATAGAGAATACTTGGTTCTAAATGACGCTGGAACATGGTTCTAACTTATTTGGCCCAATGACGAACCCTATTGAAATTGGGAAAAATTGGTTCAGATTTAGATTTAAGGTAAATGGTGCAGTGACTTTGATGCACCATTTACCTTAAATCTAAATCTGAACCGATTTTTCCCAATTTCAATTATTATCTTTCGATTTACATGAAATTTGTCATAGCTCACTCAATTATGTCTAGAATGATATGTCCCAAGTTGTATGAACCAAAGTCCCTATATAACGTTCGATTTGCACGAAATTTGGCATAGCGTGCACAATTGAGACTAGAATGATGTGTATTTAGTTTCGTGAAAATCGGTTAAGATTTAGATAAATGTAAATGATGCGCCCTATATATCTTTCAATTTGCACGAAATTTGGGGTAGCGTTCTGAATTAAGTCTAGAATGATGTGTGTTAAGTTTCGTGGAAATCGGATCAGATTTAGATATAGCTCCCGAGGTGGATTAGTGTACCTGACCAAAGTTCACAACCGGCAGGGTGTTACCGCTACTTTATACCTCATTTCTGAGAATATTACTAGAGGACCGAAACCGAATAGTCCGTGTTTCTTTATAGACGACCTTAATGGAGGCTTTGTGGACGAGCTGAAGGGAGTCTTTATAGACGAGCTAAAGTGAGTTTTTATAGACGAGATTAATGGGATCTTTGTGGACTAGTTGAATGGAGTCCTTAAATACGACCTAAAGGGGTCTTCATAGACGTGCTGAAGGGATTCTCTATAGGCTAGCTGGGGTTTTATATTTAAGCTAAAGAGAGTCTTTCAGATGAGCTGCGGGAGGTACTCTTAATTAACGTCGTGGAGGGAGTCTTTATAGTCGAGCGAAATGCAGTCTTAATGGACAAGTTGAAGGGAGGCTTTATATACGAGCTGAAGGCAGTCTTAATAGTCGATCTGATGTCTTTATAGCCGAGTTGAAGGAAGTCTTTATAAACAATCTGAAAGGAATCTATAGACGAGCTGAAGAGAGTCTTTATGGACGAAATGGATTCTTTACTAATCGAATTTTCCAAGAAGGAACAGGAAGGAAAACAGGAAATTTATACATTTTCTCATCTATGATGTTCCCACATAATGCAATTTCTAAAAAATATTCTTTGAACACATACATTTTCCTATCATTATATAGTCCTTGTACTTTAAAAGTTAAAAAAAAACTACTACACCTAAGCCTGTTTTTACCCGGTCTTTTTCTACATGGTTTTTATATAACATGGTTTGAAAATTAAATATTTTTAATTTTTTTATACGATTTTATTCCATTTAGCACGATTTGAAATTTTATGTACTTAAATTTGTTTGTCAAATTTAATTTTTGCGAAGTATGTTCATATCACAAAAAAGTATTTATGAAAGAAAAAAGTCTGAAACCATCGATAGTGTCGATAGTTTGCGAACACTAGCTTAAAGATTTGAGTGAATTCCCCCTTAGCACATACAAACAATTTTTACTGCTCAAAGCAAATGTGAATAGCACTTATATAGGGGAATTCCCTTTTTTACACGGCTTCTTCTGGAACCAATCTACTGTGTAAAAACAGATTTAGGTGTACTGCTAAAATCTACCTTATATCCTTCCATCACATTCATGGACACACGACTAAATACGTTTAATAAACTTACCAGGATGACAAAAGAAGGCTATCGAATGACGACCGCGGGAACGTAAATGCTCTTGTTCGGGTACAACAACACGATGAGGCTAAACAAAAAATGAAAAACAATTGAAAATTAAAACAAAATTCCAAATAGTTTTCTACCATCATTACAAACGTACCAGAGCTGCATATTTATTTTGTGTCCATATCGATAAAATTTCACCACAATTTACCAAAATCGCACCCGGCAAATGACCAACTCTATGCCATTTTTCACTGCCCGGCAGCTGGACTTCCAAACCACCCTCTGAATCCTGAGACAATAGCGTAAATGTACCATAATCTGTATGGGCACCACAACGTATTACCGCGCCATTTGGCAAATGCCGTTCTGTGGTATTTTTATTATTTTCCCCACCATCCACATCGTTGTATTCATCACGCGGATCATATTCAGGACGAAAATCTGGTTGTGTCGAGGCACAACGTTGATAGCTATATTTACAACGTCCCTTGACATATGTATTTTTGCTGCTCTCATCATCTTCCACAACCGGTGGATAGTACAGAAGACGCAGGGTAGTTTCGTTGTCATTATCTCCCGACAACATATGTGAATGTTTTTCAAGGAAAAATGTTTGCGGTATATCTAATGATATTGCCAATGCTTGCAGTATAAAACGAGCCAATGCTTTAAAATCTTCAGCGAGCACAGATATGTGATCGGCAAAACCGGGTAATGGTTCTTCGGGCAGATTTTTGGCGTTCAGTGTGCAAATGTTGAAGGCGTGACGTAATTCGGGTGTTTTACCATCGAAACGTTCAATGCCGGGACTCACATAACCATGATTGTCATCACCAGTGCGTATATAATGTTGTTTGACATCGTCTGGTAGATCTACAAAATCGTCTAAATGATCCCAGGCAGTTTTGAGCTGTAAAGGTGAGAAGAAGAAGAGTATTATGAAGGGGGTTTTGAAGAGATTTTGAGATTTAATATTTACCTTTTCATCACAAATACCGTGATTGACTAAAAGCGCCAATCCCTTTTCTGTGAGAGCTTTGTGCAACTGATGGCCAACACGTGTGACAACTGATTTTACTGGACATTCTTCGGTACCTGGGAAATAAAATAAGAAGAAAAAGAGGGATATTAATTGTCGTTTTATAAAATTTATCAAAATTGAAAACGTATTTATTTCGAATATAGCCCTAGATGAAGTAGGGTAGGACTTCGATTATTTGTTAATCATTCAGAGTTAATATCGAACACAAATCGTAATTACCCTAAGTGAAATATCATATAGAGTGAAAAGTGAAACTGTCATGCTGATGGAAATTTTTATAGACTGAGCTGAAGGATTCCTATATAGAAGAAGGGAGTCTTTTTGACGAACCGAAAGTATTATTTATATACGAGCTGAAAGAAGTCTTTTTAGGCGAAATAAAGGGAGTGCTTATAGGAAGTCTTATAAAGGAGCTGAGGAAGTCTTTCTAGAGAAGCTGATTGGAGTCTTTATATACGAGCTGAAAGAAGTCTTTATAGACGAGCTTTAGGTAGTCTTTATAGACGAGCTGAAGGGAGTCTTTAAAGACGAGATGAAGGAAGTCTATATAGATGAGCTAAAGCCAATCTGAATGGAGTCTTTCTAGAGGAGCTGAAGAAAGGCTTTATGGACGAGCGGAAAAAAGTCTTCATAGACAAACTGATGAGAGTCTTTATAGACGAACTGAAGGGTGTTTTTTTAGGGGAGCTGAATGGTGTCTTCTAGAGAAGTTCTATAGACGAGCTGAAGAATGTTTTTCTAGGGGATCTAAAAGGTATTTTCCAGAGGAGCTGAAGGGAGCCTTTATAGGCGAGCAGAAGGGAGTCTTTACAGACAGACATAAATTTAGTTTTTATAGATGATTTGGAGGATGTTCTTATAGACGAGTTGAATGGAGTCTTTATAGACGGTCTGAAGGGAGTCTTTATAGATGAGCTGAAAGGAGTCTTATAGACGAGCCGAAGGGAGTCTTATAGACGAGCTGATATTTTGCTGAAGAGAGTCTTTATAGGCGAGCTGATGGGAGTCTTTATAGACGAATTAAAGGTCGTTCATATAGACGAGTTGATTCTTCATAGTCGAATTGAAGTAAGTCTTTATTGATATGCTGAAGATAGTACCTATTGACGAGCTGGAGGGAATCTCTATAGTCGAATTGAAGAAAGTCTTTATAGACGAGCAATAGGTAGTCTGTGGATAGTCTTTATATTCAAGCTGAAGGTAGTCTTTATAGGCTATCTGAAGGAGGCTTCGTAGACGATCTGAAGGGAGTTGTTGTAGTTGATCTGAATGGGGTCTTTATAGACGAGCAGAGGGGAGTCTTTATGGACGAGCTGAGGGAAGTATTTATGGATGAGCTGGAGGTAGTCATTATAGACGAGCTGAAGGGAGTCTTTATACACAAACTTGAGGTAGTCTTTATAGTCGTAGACTTTATAGACGATTTGAAGGAAGTGCTTATGGACCAGCTGAGGGTAGTCTGTAGATGAACTGAAGCCAGTGTTTATAGAGGACCTGATGAGAGTTGCTTTAGTTGATCTAAATGGAGTTGTGGGGAGTATTTATACACCAGCTGAGAGTGATCTTTATATACAAGCTGAAGATAAACTTTATAGACGTGTTAAAATGAATCTAATAGACTAGCTAAATGGAATTCATTAAGATGTTAGTGATAATATTTTTTTCATTATACCAAAACAGTTTTTTTTTTCTTTTTTCAAGCATTCTAAGAAATTTGCCTTCCAATAACAATTTTTTTACTTGATTATAAAAGAATTTATAACGGATTTAGAAAAAAATTCCCCATAAATAGTTAAACCTAATAATCACCTGGTATTTTTATTCATTCGAATCACTTGACACTAAAAAAAAGTAATAAAAGATAAACCCTTGGATTTTTTCATTATTATATAAATTACAAAAAAAGAATTCAACAACAAAATGAAATATACAATTACATTGTTATTGTTTTTGTTAATTTTTTTTTTTTTTCCAGAAACCCAATAATAAAAAAACGCTAACCTTTAATTAATTTATAATAATTCAATAAATGATTTATGTGTAATTACAATATACTCGTGGTATATAGGAAGGGTAAGGCAGCAGCAGCGCAAAAAACAACCACTCACACATACACAAACCCATCACAATGTAATTTACAAAACAGCCTTGCGGTTAAGTTCGAATACTTTTCAACCTTTATTACGAGAAAAAAATAGTAATATTTATACATTTTTTGTTTTACAATATTTATTCATTCATTCATTGAAAAAAATGTATATGAATGCAATAACATACAATAATATTATCATCAATTGCTACTTATTACAAAAAAATAAACGAAATGATTGAAGTTGTATTATTTTGTATTTCATGAATAATAAATGAAATTCAATTTTGTAAAAAACACAGAGGATATACATAAACGAACCAAACCAAACCAATTAGATCGTGTAAATTACAAGTATTCACAATGTAATTAGCTTAGCGCTTAGTTATTTTTATAATGAACTTAACTTGAAAAAATAAATTGGAATTCACCTAGTAACTCAGTAATGAACTTTTGTTTGAATTGCTGGTTTTGTGTGTGTGTTTTTTTTTCTTAGAAAATTCCCTGCTATTAACAAAAATCATTTTTTTACAATTTATAAATACCAATAACATGAAAAAAAACTTAACCGAACCTGTATACTATAATGGAGGGTATAAAAAATTATAAATACTGTTAAAGGTTAGGTTAGTTTTTGCATAATGTTGTATTTTTACATTTTAATTTAAATCACTGGCGTAGCTAGAAATCAGAAAAATGACAACAACTTTTCCAATATTTTACTTTTGATAACATTCAGCTTTCCAAATTTTAAATGAGAAATGTACCTAAATAAGATCTGTTAAGATCTGTCGAAATGTACCTAAATAAGATATGTTATATATAGAAGAGCAGGTGTTCTACTATGAAATATCTATATGGTCTATAGAGGATCTAGAGATGGTAAACATTCCTTAGATAGTACTCGATATGTGGAAAGCCACAATATATTTTTCTTTGAAAAGACTACCTAACTGACCTAGAAATGTTATTATTTTTTTAGTAGAACTCGAAAGGGTCTCTTTTAAACAGAGGTCTATTTGAAAACAAAAGGCATTCTATTCATTAAAATTCCTATAAGTGGTATTCTATTCATTGAAGTCTTAGATAAAGGTTGAAGTCTTAGATAGCTATAGCAGATCCACAAAAGATCATCTATCCAACATCATAAGGTATTTTAATATAGAAGTCACCTTTCTTTTACTGACCTAGACTGAAAGAAGTCGGTTAATCAATGGATACACAGAAACAATTTAATGAATATTTTCATAATTTAATTCATATTGTTACATGTACCTTGCCTATAATACCAGTAAAAATTCTTATAAACTGAGAAAGACCCCACGACAAGAAGTCGTTCTCTTGAAAAAAGTCGCACAGGAAAGTAAATTTGTCAATAAAACTGTCCCTAGAATATGTCAAATATCCTTGGAACTCAAGAACGACATAGATGAATCCAAATTAGTTTGAATTTACACTTGAGAAGGAAAATATAACTTTGTCCTGATTTAGATTAGGCGAGTTTAATTGCGGAAATTTTTATAGTTCTCTTTTGAACTTGCTTCATGCGTCTATACAAGGCAATTCGGTTTCACAAATATTTTTTTTTACAGTTTGTGTCAATGTTCAGGATTGGTATTTCAAATTACTGACACTACAAACAAAATACACAAAACGAATTGTCAGAAAATTGTCGATACGAGCAATTTTTTCAATTTCTATTCCCATTGCCCCTCTCTTCTACAAACAAAGACTTGCCGCAAGTAAACTCGCCTAATCTAATTTGGGACTTTACAGAAACATGGGAGAAAAGTTTCACAAATTGCCACAGGGCATGAAACAGGTTGCAAATTGCGACTTTAGTCGCACAACGGTAACCCTGGTATTCATCCTTCGTCCCTCCCCTTATTTTGCAACCTTTTGTTTGACTACTGTTTCTGTTGCCAAGAACCGGCGACATAATTCGCATATGTATTTTCCATATTATTTCGATACAAATGATAAATACAGGGACCGTAACGATTATAAGTTATATCAAATCAGGTAAAAAATAACTGTTATTTTGTGACCAAAATAAAAAAATCCACTTTAATTATTTATTTTTTAACGGAAAAAATAAACGTTGATTTTTAACTGTTAAAAATGATTGTTATTTTTTCCGTTAAAAATAAAACTCTTTTTTGATTTTTTCCGTCAAAAATAAAAGTCTTACTGTTATTTTCGGTCCCTGGATAAATACAATATATAAAACAAGTGTTGATACGAACAACAAACCCAATCGAATGTTTAAAATATGGCGGTTCTAATCCGAGTTGTTTTCTCTCCCTCTCTCCCTCTCTCTCTCTCTCTGATAAGTAATCAGTGTTTCAAGTTTTATGAATTGCATTCATAAAATGCAGAAATCACGACATTGGCAACACTTTCTGAACACTACAGAAGGGTTTCTCTCAGCAGAAGATGTATCTATGGAAGCAAAGATGGTCCGTCAGAAACAGTGACGTAAATGACACACATGTCCGAAGTATAATACATACGTTAAAGATGTCGAAAATCCCTACAAACCATTTGACAATAGTTACTCAGAACTAAAACAACTAAAATTGCAAACATCTACGCCCTTTCATTTAACTCCTTAACACCCTCACCCACATGGATTTGATACGGTGAAAATTTGCCTCATCGAAATATTGGTTTAGACCCCATATTTTTTTGGACCAAATCTATTTGGAGTCGATTTAATTTTATAATAACATGAAAACGGACTATCCGATTTTAACGTTATCGTTATCAAGTCTAGATTAAGTCCGAAGATGGGACCCATTAGCCCACTTCTTCTGGTACCTCCCACAAAAATGGTCAACATTTTGAATACTTATAAATCCAATATTAGGCGAATGGAATGCCCGATTTTAATTTCTTTCTGGAATTCATATGTTTCGGAAGAAAGTAAATATACCCCACCTTCGCTCACACCCACAACACCCT